TTTTCCGAACCCAGCTTAAAATAAACCCTATTTAATTATTTGTATTAAATAGGGGAACTTGTCGGCAAATAAAACGGTTTCGCAGACCCAAACGGATGTCATATGTTTTCCTAGTTTATTTGATCGAGCCTCATCCTCAAGTCTTGTGTTTATCCCTCGGGGTAGATATAGAATTTGAGGTAGAGTGCTCTTTCATTTAAACTGTGAAAAATATGAGGTCAGTTTGATTTCACATTTTTCTAAAATTATATATATATATACGTAAATTAAAACGTCCTTCCGAAGCGGGCGACGGGATTTCGATTCCGGCTGCCGACAGCTTCTTACGGGCGACCCCCCCAAACAATCTCTTTCTTTCTCTTTTTTGTGCCGACATACCTCAGTCAAGATCTTCTGAATCTCATCCTTCCCAACACATCGCAATCACATTTGGTCAAACGAGCGTTGGTAAAGGGTACCATTCAACATGGTATATGACAACTTTCTCTTCTAAATATGAGTGGGAAGAGAGTGGTCGTCGGGTAGTATTTCACTTTTGTCGACACTTTATCTCATTCAAGACTTCCACTTTTATCATTTAAAATCACCGCTTTTGTCGACACTTTATTCAATACTCCACGTATTACAGTTGAGATGCGCTATTGGTGATAATGTGCTCTCTTCTTCACTTCCCCGTGACTTGACTGAGGATATAAATGTTCTCTTGGAGCCACTGGAGTTGAAAGGGATGCGTCAAGAATCAAAAGGTGGGAAGTCTACCTATAACACCATGTGGAAGTCATACGACTTAATCCAACAACATTTTCATCTTTTCCAAATTGAGGACAAATGTGTCTTGATGGGAGAGGAAAAATGTGAGACCCACACCTATGGCACTTTCCCATAATGTCGGCCGAGCAAATAACTTGAAGACTTATAATTGGTGCAAGACTATAAGAGAATTCAGTTATTTATTATTGTTTGGTATAAATAAGGCTTAATATGATTAAGGTTAGGATGTGTGATTGTTATTTGGAGTCATAGGACTTTGGATTTGGGAGAGACTTGCTTACCTCTTGAACCGTAGGCCTATCTTTTAGGTAATTGGGATTGTATTATTTTGTTTTTGTGGCAGCGCAATAGAATCTATTATTTATTCCCTAATTTCTGCAGAAAGTTGTCTTATTCCTAACAAACTATTTGAGCTTTTGTCTCATGAACCATTTTGGTTATTCATTCTCATTAAGAGTTGCTGTATTTGATGTTGATTCTAGTTTAAGCAAACCCTTTAGGAAAACACTGATTATATTAGCTTTGGAAATTTTGAAAAAAAATAAATAAAACTCTGAAGAATTCATTTTCCATCAATCCAGTTCCCTCTTTTAGCGTCTGGCTTATCATGATACTACTTGCTAATGTCCATAGAATGATAAAAAAAAAGCTAGACAAATGAAATAATAAAGGAAGATTCACATATATGACACTCAATTCCTATGTATTAAGTAACATCTATACTTAAATTTTTACGTGCATCGTCTTATCTATGCATGAAAAGGCGCATTCCGCTTTTTAAAAGTTAAAATGGTGGTATTTTTCAAGTGAAATGGAAGATTTGGGTGGTATAAATGTAAAAAGAAAGTTTAGGTGTTGATATGTAAATATATAAGAATTTCGTGGTATGCATGTAAATGCCCCGATAATAAATAGATGAAGCAATGAATGTAAAACAATCATGTAGACATGAACAACATCATTAACAAAGACACAAAGATCTGAACGATAAATAGGAGATTTCATAGAAACTGAACCGAAACTCCTGAAATAAGAAGTTGGGATAACTTACCCATTCACGAGTTCTACTAGCTTTGGGTACAACTTATGATCACGCAGGTTGTTAATTTCCGAGACCGTGGAATCCATGGACTGCATATCGACAATGTATCTTGTATGCAACTGGCTCACCGCTGCTGTCAGCTTTTCCGAATATTCCGATCCCACACCATGCTTTTTCTGTTTGTTCAGTAAATGAAGCTTTCTCTGGTACTCAAATTTCATAAGCTCAACAGCCTATAAGCCAAAACAAGCACCAAAAGATTCAGTATTGAACAGGAAAACCAAAGAAGATAAATGATCATGCTGCTATTTAACAATAGAATCCACAATATAATCTTGCTGCTATTCAACAATAGAGTCCACAATATAAAAGACGAAGATTTACATGCATAACACTCTAGTCCTATGTATGTACATATCTAACACCTAAACTTCAATTTTGCAAAATGCAAGACTATCTATGCATGAACAGGTGTGTTTCACGTTTTAAAAATTAAAATAGTGGTATTTTTTTATGTGATATGAAAGATTTGGGGTGGTATAAATGTAAAATGTGAAGTTTAGATGTCATTAGAAAATGTGGTATGAATATAATGCCCCTTCAATAGTTTGTAACATGCATTCAGCTCTGCTTTCTACCATTAAATTTCATTTGAAAAAAGCATTTCGTAATTTACAACGGCAGGAATAAAACCTATCAACACAAAATATCTAAAAAAAAAAAGAAATAGAAATCCAGTGTCAAATGGCACCATAATAAAGTCAAGAACCGATGAGTTCAAATTGTAGTTGAATAGATCCATTTACCTTGACTTCATCATATAGTTTCTTCTCCCATGCAAGCATTTTATCCAACACAGTGGCATGAGTTTCCCACTTCTCATCATCTAAATCATCCTGGGCATCAACTTCGCTGCGGATTCCTTTAATTGACCTATTCCATGTGATCACCTTCAAGACTTTTGCAGAATGGTCAATAAGCCCTATAAAACATCAATTAAAATTCAGTGAAAAACATGAATAATTTTCAAAAAAAAAATTAGCAGAAATATCAGAAAAAAACATGTAAAAAGGATTAAAAAAAACGAGGGAAACAGCAAAATATCACTGCGAATTAAAAAAGTTGCAGTTTGAAAGATGGTCAACTAGCCATTATTAAAGCAATAAATGGAACTCAATTATAATAGAAAAAAAATATACTTCAAAAAGTAGCAACGAAGGCCTGCAAATAGGTATCCTAAACCGCAGGGAAAACAAACCAAGAAAAATATGGTAAATGGGAAAATTTTGTCGAAATGGTCCATTTACTCTTTGCAACGGTCATTTTACTCCCAGAGTTTATAAAAATGCTTATTTAATCCTCAAACTCTTTTTATATGGCTGAAATAATTCCAACAGAGGATTATTTTAGTGTCAAATTAAAGAGTCCGTGGACTAATTTGGTACTCTTATAAACTCTAGCACTAAAATGGTCCCATGTAAACAATTAGGGGACTATTTTAAGAATTTTTTTGATACAATTACAAGATAGCAAGATTAGCAACAATCACTAGAAGTGGCAAAGGACTTTGAAGTTGATGCAAAACAAAACCGTGAGTACAACCAATGGCATCATTACCATACCCATTTTTTCACCTATCTTTGGTCAACATAGTTGATTAGTTTAAATTGTAACATCTATATCTATGACATATCATAACATTGGACATGTTTATCGGATTTAAATTTTTTATAATTGCTTGGCCTCAATGCATGAAAAACCCGCTATATAAATTAAAATATGCACGATATTTTAAATTCATACTCATGTATACTAGCACATATAATAATTAAAATTTTCTAGAGGACTACATATTTTGCAAACATATTATTACATTCTAACATATATTATATTCTATAAAATGTATTCATTTATAAACTTATATAATATAAATATGCTACTTTCACTTCCAACATAAATATAGACTATAGGAATTGACATTTCTCTCCTGAACAACCAAACAATTTTTCTAGAGTTTTTTAACTTCCAACTTCCACTTTTAGAAGTGAAAATTGTCACTTTCAGTAACTGACGAGCAACCAAATCAAACCTGAAGTAAAAAATGACAGCTATCTAATCTAGAATAAAAAAGGTATCGCTTATTGTGCGAAAATTTCTAAAAAATGTCCCTTTTTCATTCAATTGAAAGTCATAGCGGGGTAGGATTTAAAATCAAAAACATTTGTTATTCAAAAACTGAATAATAGGAATGGTAACAAGTTCAAGTTTTATATGAGATTTCTCAGCAAGCATCTTATTATTGATAAGGGAGGAGGCTTCACAAAATGTGTCTCTTTAAAGAGAAAGACAAATTACATTTGATGGTGAACTTTCTATAATGAATTTTAAAGATGTTGAGCTTGATCCATTAAATTCTATAATTATTTAATTAGGCATCTCCAAGAGAAAAAAAAAATTATTGATTTGCAACTACTAATGCCCAAAAAAAATTACATTTTGTGTATTTTTGAATCAAAACTATTGATAATTTCAATTTAGATTTACGCGTACATATAGAACTTCATTAAAATTACCCAACTTGTGATATAAAAACTAAAAATATCTTACACCACACAAATTGGATCATCAATTACAGATATGAACATCTTAATCAACTATTAAGAAGTTGCCTGACATGATGCATTTAGAATCCAAACAGAGTGTGGCATGAACTGCTTTTATTTTTTTTGGCAAAACCTGGAAGGACTCGTTGATCTTTTAAGTTAAGTTGCGATCAGTTTATTGAAAGCTTTCACTTTTAGGAAAAAATATTAGGTCTGGAATCCAATGGTGGGGCGTAACCTGTCAAGTGGGTGTTAAATGTTGGAGACCGATTTCGCAGACTCCCGCTCCCGCCTCCTCATGTTTCGCGAATCGGCGTCAATTCCCGCCTCCCGCTCCATCGTGACAGGTCGCGAATCGTCGCGAAATCTCCAGACGAGAACCGTTCCCGCCTCCATTTCACGAAACACCGCCTCCTTTCATCCCGAAGCTTCTTGTTATCGATAAAGGCTTCGGACGGCTCTCTTTTTTGTTCTAAGTCACATTTTGTTGTTTTTCTTTGGGCTTCCTGGGGATTAAGGAAGAGTTCTTTGGACTTCCTTGGGACAGATGAAGAGAAGTGCAAAAAGTAGTTCATTGCGGTAAAGGAAGAAGAAAGAAGAAGAAGATTGTTCTTCATTAGCTTCTTCTTGGTGGCTTGTGTGTTGAGTTTATTTCTCTTGTAAGTTTATCTTCTTTGGTGTATCTCAGTGTAGAGTTTTTTCGGTGTATCTCGGTGTAGAGAGAGAAGAACAGAGAGCAACGAAGTGAGAGATTCCTCTTGTAAGTCGAGGTGATCGACTGGTGTAAATTTCTCAAGTAGAAAAATCCTCTGCAACTCCGTGGACGTAGGCAAGTTGCCGAACCACGTAAATCTGTGTATTCTGCTGTGTTACTATTTTCTTATATGAATTTTTTTCGTTCTATTTCTTCATTTCGTCGTCAACCGTTCTCATGTTTGATTATATATATATATATAAATATTACCACATCAACTAGGGTGTATATATCGTAACAACTGGTATCAGAGCCAGGTTCGGATCTAAGGAAGAATGATGGCTGCAGATGAAGTGAAGGTTTCAGGGATCGATAAATTTGATGACACAGATTTTGGTTATTGGAGGATGCAAATAGAGGATTACCTCTATGAGAAGAAACTTCATCTTCCGTTATTGGGAAAAAGACCTGAAATGATGGATGAGGCTGAATGGAATTTGTTGGATCGACAAGTTCTTCAGGTTATTTGATTGACTCTATCGAGGTCTGTTGCACACAACGTCGTCAAGGAGAGGACGACTGCACATCTCATGGGAGCCTTATCAGGTATGTATAAAAAGTCAATGGCGAATAACAAGGTGTACTTGATGAAGAAGTTACTCAACTTAAAGATGGTGGAAGGTGTTTCTGTTGCTCAAAATCTATTGCTCAATGTTTCTATTGCTCAATACCTGAATGATTTTAATACTATCACAAATCAATTGTCGTCTGTTAAAATTGATTTTGATGATGAGATACGTGCACTGATATTGTTGGCATCGTTGTCAAATAGTTGTAAAGCCATGAGGATGGCAGTTAGCAGTTCTGCAGATAAATCTAAACTGAAATGTGATGATATTCGTGATTTGATTTTGCCTGAGAAGGTGTGCAGGAAAGATTCTGTCGAGATCTCAGGTACGAGTTCGACACTGAATGTTGGTTTCAGAGGGAGATGACAGGAAAATAACTCAAATAAAGGGAGATCAAAATCAAAGTCTGGTCAGCAGACAACTTGTTGAAATTTTGGTAAGGTTGGTCACATAAAGAGAAACTGCAATAATCCCAAGAAAATGGAGAATGATAGCGCAAATATGGTATCTGAAGGAGTACATAATGCACTATTGCTGACAGTTTATAGTTCTGTTGATGATGAAAGTGAAGAGAAAAGTGGATCTGGGGCACCCATTTCTATTGTTCAACAGGCAGATGGTGGAGAACCACAGAGCTATGAGGAAATCTTGCAAGATGAAAGTTCGAGCAAGTGAGAGTTGTAACCAGGGAAGAAGACATTACACAAGTGGGTGTACCAGGTGAAAGCTGAGCGTGATGGCAGTAAGAGGTACAAGGCTAGACTTGTTGGAAAAAGCTTTCAACAGAGGAAGGATATTGCCCATACAGTGAGAGTTGTAAGCAGAGAAAATAGTAATCTAGAAAATAGCTTGGAGGTGCAGAGCTATGTTGACCCTGCTGATATGTTGACTGAGGGTGTTACTCTTGAGAAACTGAAGTTGTGCACAGCTTCAGTTGATCTTCTGGAGTGAAGACAGGGTTTTGAGTTGTAGAAGTGGAGGAATCAAGGTGGGGATTCATGGTGGAGGATCAATGTTTGAAAGAAAAGATGACACTGTCAGTGGAAGATATCAGTTTGAGAAAGAAGACGTTGTACTATGTGTATCGGTCTCCAAGTGGAAGATTGTTAAATTTTGGTGACCGATTTCGCTAACTCCCACTCCCGCCTCCTCATGTTTCGCGAATCGGGGCCAATTCTCGCCTCCCGCTCAATCGCAACAGGTCGCGAATTGTCGCGACATCTCCCAACGCGAACCGTTTCCGCCTCCATTTCGCGAAACGCGGCCTCATTTCATCCCGAAACTTCCTGTTCGCGATAAAGCTTCGGACGGCTCTTTTTTGTTCTAAGTCACATTTTAGTGTTCTTCTTTGGGCTTCATTGGGATAGAGGAAGAGTTTTTCGGGTTTCCTAGGGACAGAGAAAAGAAGTGCAAGAAGTAATTTCTTGCGGTGAAGGAAGAAGATTGTTCTCTCTTGGCTTATCCTTGGTGGCTTGTGGCAAAAGAGAAACTGGGTTTATTTCTCTAGTAAGTTTACGTTCTTCGGTGTATCTCGGTGTAGAGTTTCTTCGGTGTATTTTGGTGCAGAGAAAGAAGAACAGAGAGAGAAGAAGAGAGAACAACGAAGTGAGAGATTCCTCTTGTAAGTCGAGATGGTCGACTAGTGTAAATTTCTCAAGTAGTAAAATACTCTGCAACTCCATGGACGTAGGCAATTTGCCGAACCACGTAAATCTGTGTATTCCACTGTGTTACTGTTTTCTGTTGTGAATTTTTTTGTTCTATTTTTTAATTT